CATTTTTTCTTTTTGTAAATTGTGGTGAGAATGGATGAATTTGTTTTGCCTTAAATAAAACATGGTTTGCGAATTAGATCACCTTCCCCATATATATATACACACATTTATATGTATATATATGTGTGTGTGTATACAGTGTGTAGATATGAACACATGTCTGTACGTACATAACGACATATAATATGCATGACTATTATGCATTTTAATATATATATATCAACGGATACATAATGGATTTTGTTTATGGATACTAAGGGATATTAGTGATTCTTAATGGATATGAAACATACTAATGGTATATATATATAATATTATCCAAAGTCCAAAGATGGTGACCATAAAAATTTGCTGGAAGAACATCGGGATTTTTCCTCCCCCAGGTTGATGCTGGAAATGGGCGACGACTTCGACGGGCCAAGCAACCCATAGCCTGGGTGCTCGGTAGCGAGCTCCGCCTGGGCGATACAAAAAGATGTGGAGAAACCATGGTGAAAGCCTAGGAACATGATGGAACATGATCGAACATGATGGAAAATGATCTACTTCATCTACTTCTATGGTGGGAATAGTGTAGTAACTCAGTAGTAACCTTTTTGTTTTATGATGTTTTATGCCTCATCCATGGGATTATCAACACAAGAAGACTTACGTTGACCAGGGTTATCGGTGACCAAGTGGATCCTCCAAGTAGGATAAACTAACATAGATGAAAGCCATCGTTTCGGAAAAGAAATTGATCTAAACATGGTGGCATTTCCACATCTTTTTCTATGTGAAAGAGGAGGTTACCCTACAAAAATGAGAGGTTAGCCAAATACAAAAATGAGAGGTTAGCCAAATACGGTTTCACCCGCCAAATACGGGTTCGTTTATCCAATTTTAGGAAATGCTAGTTGAAGGGAAACTTTACAGGGCTTACTCTTACCCTTAGATGTACATGAAAACAACCAAGGTTTCCTGTAAAATGACCCTGAAATTAATCCATTGACGAGAGCTGATCTTCGCCTTTGGAAAGACCCTACCGTACCATCTTGGAATGACTTTGGATCACTGACAAGAGGAAATGGCAATGTCACAGAATTTCCAGTCCCTGCTGAAAATGTGTATATATATAAATATCAAATGAATTCTGTGACATTCAAATTATATCAACCCAACATAAATCTGGGACATGGGACATTTCTATCATCAACCCTTGTTGAGTCCCTTCCTTCTTCTTTTCGCACCTAGCTCAGGACGACCAGCTCTTGGGTGCTCCCTCCGGTGTCGTTGGCGCTGAAGCACATCCCACGGGCCTCCCCAACAGGCGTTTGGCGCCTCCGGCGGATCCTTTTGTCCTTTTGGACTCCATGGAACCCCAAAAAACAGCTGAGTTGATGTGAATGTGGAAATTCCATGAAATTCATCATGTGTTTTTCTGTTTTTCCCGCATTTTCATGCATTTTTTGGTTGCGATTTACGTTTTTCAGGGGCATCATCTCATGGATTGTTTTGCTGTGTTTGGTTACCAGTGTTCACTGTGATGATATACTATGATATACTACATGTGTTGATTGTTTTGGCACATATTCGATCTATTTGTCAATTTGTGCATTCTCAGAGGATCATCCCAATTGGCAACTCAGTTGGATGATGCTTCAAGTCGAGATGGCTATGCCGCTATGCCGGAGTTTTTTTTGCGGAAGCCTTACGAGTTTTCAACCAGGGTTGCTCCATCCTATTGTAGGTGAAGGCAACCTTTTGGCGGTAAATAAATGGGTCATTTTACTTCTTTCAGCCAGTTTCCCCGCCTTGTTTCTGGGGTGTTGGGAGCCTGATCGTGGCCTATTTGGTGCCCAAAAAACGGGCACTCTACAGTAAGATCCAATGGCATAACACTTTAACACCACATTTTTCGCATTTTTAGTGGCCTCGAATTGGGGGTGAATCCTCATTTCTAGACAGACCAGAATCAACCATACAATATTATTGGATATAATTACCATCAAATATCCAATAATATCTTTCGCAGTACACATCCCAGGAAATATCACCATTATATCATGGCAGTCCACATTGTGGTTGGTTTGGCATTCTCAATATCATGGATTCCATATTTCACATGATATTCCCGTCATATCCCCACAATATTCCCCACAAGGAGCGTACCGCCCAATTATTCCTCGGTTTCTCAACCCCATCAACACAGCTACAAAGTTATAAATTATATAAATCCACTTAGCATAACTTAGCATAACTTAGCTCATCAATATGATCACTTAGCATCATATGATAGGAACATCAATTTTTTTTTGGGGGGTCCCAGCATCATGTTCCTATCATCTGGAAAAGACGGGCCATCGCAGGAGGCTCCGCCGGGCCACGAAGTTAAGTCCCTCGGCATCAAAACGGCATCGGCAACGACGGGACGATGGGGATTTCAGCACCAATTTCTGAGGCAATTTCAGAGCCAATTTCCCAGACACTTTGAAAAGAGAAAGCCTCCGGTTATGACTAACATAGCTGCTATAGCTATGGAAAATCACCATGCAAAAAAAAAATAGGCAAACCTCTATTTCGATTAGGGCCATCTATACCATGGCTATATTAAATAAGCAGAGGGTAAATCACCCATTTACAGATTATTTACTGGACAGATGATTTACCTGTTCAAAATGGCGATTTTCCATAGCTATACACATTAAATAAGCAGAGGGTACACAACAAACATATCACAACATGGAAGCTAAACGGCACTAGGAGGGATTCAAACCAGGAATAGGGAACCAAATGATGACCCAAGTCGATGTCCAACAAACGTGATCTGACATACCAAAGAATGATGGAGAACACACAGAAAAAGATAAAAGGGAGGATCTTGACATAACACAATAAGAATAATGAGGGATATAGCATGCTAAAACATCACCAAGCTTGTGAAAAGAAGAACCATTCGGAGTTTAGTGACGGCTGCTCAGATACCAAACAAGCGCAACTTTCGTGAACTGCATCAGAATTAAGGAACCTTGAAATTCACCAACTCACATTTGCATCGCTGTTGCAAAAACCGTTTTTTTCCTTGGTACCGTCGGGTACCCAATCCGAGATTGCACGGTAGAGAGCGAAGAGGCGGGTGGTGTCGAATGGTTCAACCTGGATCCCAAAATGGAGGGATATTTTATGACCAACAACACACCGGGGATATCATGGGGACGTTCATGAGATCTCCTTATGGGCCAATGGGGGTATATATTATATATATTAGGGGCCTTCTCATGTTGGAGACCCAAGGAAGTTTCAGTGATTCAACCATCAACAAAAATCCCCCCCAAAATCCATCAATGAGGTAACCAAATGGCAGGTCTCCGGCCGTCGGGCCTTCTTTGATCAATGTCCGACCCCTGGGGTGCGGGGTAATCCAGGGTGGCACGTGTAGATGAAATCAAAGCGATTTCAGGATTTTTGTTTGTTGCTGGCGTTCCAAGCTTTTTTTCCATGTGCCCAAATGGGAATTCGACAGCAAGGGTACTTCACAGTACATGATGTGAAGAGAAATTCAAGCCTGTCTAATTGGCCAGCAGTGTCAGCACTGGACAGATCACTCTGAAGTTTTTTTTTTTTTTTTTTAAATGTTGTTTTTTCACATTCAATAGTTCGTTGAAAGAGCAGCGTGCCATTGAGTAAATGTACGGTGCCCTCAGCAGAATCCAATTATACATATACATTTCATCCACATACGCATACATATGATAGTTATAACATACACACACATATATTATGTACTACTCTAAAATTATATATAATATATATATATATGTATTTATATATGTTTTTGATAACCAGTGTGAATGGGATATCCTCCACATAAAATCCAGTCTCAAAAAAGGAGCCCCCATCGAAGTCCCGCTTCCGGAATCCTCCGTGTTCGTCGCCGTGGTGAGTTACTCGTGCTGAAGAATATGCAGAGCTGATTGGCCGACCTGGCCTCCAATCGCTCCGACCTCACTGGGGCAAGGTTTTTTCGAAACTGGAAGTTGGATCAGAGTAGATTCGTGTATGATATGAAAAGGATAGTAAGTTACTGTAAAACTATATATATATATATATATTTGATTCTCATAATTTTGAAATCACACATCGAGGTTTTGGAAGGGAACACAGAAATTCAAGGAGAAACAGGAATGGCAAAAGCCGCAAAAGCCTAATGTGGCTTTATGGTACCCCATTCCATCCCATGTCGTTGAATGGTTTGTGTCTGAAAATCGGATATACCCCCTGGCCATGGCCACTTTAATGGGAACAATGATGATTATATTCAGTTGATTTGGGGGTGTCCCATCATTTTCAGACAAGCCCACTTAAGATAGTTAAGCCGATAATTTACCATATTTTTTTTGGGTACATCCATAGTCACAGCGATGAGTTCGGGGCCCTTTATTCCATGGATCTCCCATGACCAAGTTACCAAGGCCTCGACCAAAAGAGCAAAGCCTGTTGGTTGAGGGGCCTGGGAACCAAAACGCTTGGGAGCAACATAAATCAACCACAATGTGGATGCCCATGATACAATGGGGATATCGTGGGGATATGAAATAATCGGAGATGTTTTTTTGTGAAGAAAATATGGTGGCTTGGGCAAAGATTAGGATCTACCATGGATACAAATTTGGGCACCAAATTTGTAGCCATTTTGAATACGGAAAATTCAAGAATATTCTGGAAAAAAAGCATGTGGCTTGGTGATGTGGGACCAAGTTTGAGACCTAACCATTCTTAAAGTGCGGAAATGATAATAGTTTATTAAAACATATTAAAACCACCACATCATTCTGGCATTCTATCTGGCATCTAGTCTGACATTCTATCGGGCAATCTATCTGGCATCTATTCTGACATTCTGTCTGGCATTCTATCTGGCGTGTATTCGGGTCCAGGCGTGCCCAGCTGCATCTGGAGCTCGCGATAAGGTTAGGGTCCAGGCGTGCCCAGATCGGCGACGAGCTGGCAAATATGTAAACTGGGAGAGGAGAAGGAAGGAGGAAGGAGGAAGGAGGAAGGAGGAAAGAGGCAGAGAGTAAGCAGGAGTGAGTGAGTGAGTCAGTGAGTGAATGATTGAGTGAGGGAGCGAGCGAGTGAGCGAGTCGGCGTGGGCTTAAAAAAAGAGACCCTGACCTGGCAGGTGGGGAACTATTGTATGAGGTAAGAAAACATAGATCGATCACTGTGAATTTTGTTTTGTTCATGGTTCGCAGCAGAAAAAATATGACGAAGCCCCAACTTTCTGGACCATTAGCAAAACTGAAGAATAGCAACAATTGGATTATTTTTTGGGACTAGTTAATCGAAATCCATTTGCACATCCAATTTTTGTCATCTTGATAAAGTTTGATTTTGCCTGGAAGTCCATCGCCAGTGTCTTAAGATTTCTAAACTGCTTCTGCTTCCAGCCTAAGGATGGATTCCAAGTACTTTGCCATGCAGGGTGGCAAACTTGGTTCTGTGCATGCGGTTGATGGAACAGCAAAATCATCAATTTCAATGGTTCGCTGAGAATGGGACATTCCCAGTTTCAATGGTCGAGGATCTTTTACCCAAAATATTCTTTGATCATTTTTCCACTTGAATTGTAATTGCTATTTGGGGGTGTCAATCCCCCAATTTTTCGACGTGCCGGTGTCAGAAATGATCGCCCTTGCCTGCGGTTTCCTCTGGATTTGAGTCCATGGCTTGCTTATTCATCTTATTCCAAGAGACACAGTGGAACAATTCCAGAAGTGAATGGGAAAAACGACGGTTTACTGTAGCATGTCCCGAAAAAATCAAAAAGATGATTTCCGTTTGTTGGCACTTTGTAGAAGAACGCCCGAGCGAGCATTTTTTGATGCCGAGCATATTCAGATTTGGCTGGTGGGGAAAAACGGGATTTCGGTTGGTTTCTGGCAAACCGGATAGCACTCCAAAATGTTGAGAAGACCCGAAGATTATTTCCTTTCAAGTGGAGCATAGCATCCATCCCGAGCATTCGCAGGCAGCATTTCCGGTGCTTCTAAGGTTTTTTATTGTGCATCTCCGTTAGGTTCTTTGGTTCGCTGGAATTTTCAGCACTATATACTTGTCTCAATCCCTACCTGTCATGGGCGGCCCTAAATGCCTGGTTCCTCTCATCTCATGAAATATTTCTATTTTGCTTTGATCAACTAGTTTTTTTTTGCATTTTCCATCTTTTTGGAGAGGTGTGTGTGTGTGTGTGCGTGGCTCCATCATTGTGTTTTTGATCATAGGAAGGGGTGGCACAATTTGTGTGTGCAATTTAGTGAAACCAGTGATGTTTACGACAGGTTCATTCCTCAAATTTGTGGAGGGTCCAGACTCAGATGCACGATTTCAACTGAAACTTAAAGAAAGGGACATGAAAGGGACTTTTCACTTTTTTTCGACTTTTTTGAGATCTGGAACTTATCCAAATTAGTCGCACTGGCGGATCGATGAATGGGCTCATAGAAAGATGATCTATCTGGGTAAATTGGAGCGACTTCACGTTGCGACCTGACTTTAAATTCTGGTCAGGAAGAGGAATCATCCCAAAGCGACTTTTCAGATTTGTGAGTTGCTATTAGCAAACAATCAAAAATGGTTGACAGATTTCCGGAGTTTATAGTTTCTTCACCAGTTTTGTACTCTAGAGATTGCTATGCAGACCAATATTGGTTGGGGCCCTTCTGTGGGTGTTTTTCACGGAGGGGAACCCACATGGTTATAATATAGTTACCCACGCCTTGGGTATGTAGTCCTTTCACCAATGATGGGAACGCGACCTCCGACTACCAAAATGGCACTCTCTGAAAGTACTTGTAGGGGAGACACCCCAAACAGCCAGTTCAGGGGTAATGACTCAACTAATGGATTTGGGAATGCCATGGAATACCTTATTTTCAATTTTTTTCAAACCCATGTCAAGCTTTGGTGCGAAAGATTGGAGGCACGCCACGCTCATGATCAAGGTCCCGCACAAGCACTTCGACCTGGTTGTTTACACCACACGACATTTCCATTTTCGTAGACGAGACTGTGTAGCGTCCATCCATGAAAGATCATGAAAGCAGGTCTGGCATTCCAGAGTCCCATGAATGAAACATCCGCACTGTGTCCTGGCTCGCCTGAGGTGACATTGAGGACTTGAGCACGTCCGCTTCCGAAGAATGCCCTGAGAGGCAGCAGGGGGTCTTGTTCATGCTCCTCTCTCAGTTTTTTTTGAGCAGCCTTGCCGGAGCAGGCTGAGACTTGACGGTGGGAAGCATGGTCATCAGATCTGCACAGACATTCAAAGGTTTTATTGGTTTGACTGGCATCTTCTTACTCATACAGTGGCGAGAGGCCGCGCAAAGAAGCAGATTCAGTGCCCTCGCGCGGACCTCATCTCAGTCAAAGCTTGGGCTGCGATAGGACATGTGCCATTTTTCAATTTTGGTTTTGCAAGCTTTGTTGTTTTTCAAACACAAAATGCAGGAAACCAAAAGAATCCAAAAGCATCCTTTTAAAGTGTGCATCCCTTTGCCATCACGCGAATCCCAACCTATCCAGCACCTTTGCTCTGGAGCCGTTGAATTTCTCAACATATGTCAAGCACCACGCACGTAGCTGAACTTGCATCGTGTTTGCAAGCCCATGTTTTTTCCACACATTTCATTTTTCACGATATTTTACAACATCTTTGCCCAAATAGTCCTTCGAAATGCTTTAATTTTAGGCGCAGTGGTCAAGGTTGGTGCATGTCCACACTGCTCCAATCTAAGTTGTTCCAACGCCAGGCTCCGAGTTAGACGCATGCTCCAAAGTTTGCAGTTCTTGCCCCAGGATGGAAACAGGTTGGGTTGTTGGGGCTGGGATGGAGCAGATGCTGGAACCACATGTCATGTGGATGTAATGTGTTACACCATACGGAGTTCCAAATTGATGTTGGCCACCAGGGGGTAGCAGCATGTTGGGCTACCCATGTTGGGTAGACGGGGTTTTTGCCCAATCTTCATCTTGTTTTGCACGCGTTCATGTCGACCTCATTCTTTTGTTGCCTCTTGCTCGTTGTGCGTGTGTTGGGGGGCGACAACGTCTCTTACGCTCTCATGTCTTACATATGCTACGTCATTACGTCTTACATGGACTTGCACATAGACGACGTTGCTCTACGTTCTCATGTCTTACATATACTACGTCATAACGTCTTACATGAACTTGCACATAGACTTGGCTGTAACGTCTTAAATGTAATTTCACTCATACCACGTCACAACGTCTTACTTGTATTTGAACTTTTAACCTATACTACGTCATGACGTCTCACATGTACTTTCATATAGACCACGACATAATGTCGCATATGTACTTTCACTTGTACCACGTCAAAATGGTTGCCATGGTGTGCAGTGACCAAGTGGCAGAAAGTCACATGGCGAATCTCAAGAAGTTGCGCAGGAACAACAAATTGTCAGGCTTGCCTCTGGATTGCACACACACACATCGATGACTTATCCGCTTTGTTTAATTTATTCATGAAAATCTGGGGATTGAAATGGTCATGGAAGCCTTTGTGCGCTACATGGTGGCTTTTGTCAGATACCACATGATACCACTTAGTTCGCTGAAAAGTGGCGAAATTGAAGCGAAAAAGATGCGCGATCCCCTGCAAGGGTTGTTTCCAACATATATTTTTGAAAAAAACACGGAAGTTGACTTGATGCACAATTTGATGAACACCTTGAACCAATCCATAATATGAGGATCAAAGGAGAGCAATGCACAATCATAAAAATCAGCTTACCATGGCTTACCCCTTACAGAGAAAAGCACATTTTTGAATAAAACAATTCCCTACATCTTAGCGAACTCATTGATGAACATTTTGGAGCTCATCAAGTCGGCCCTGAGATTTGGGCAACCCGTCTACCCAGTGTGCGGATTCAAGGATTTGATTGTGCATGCGCTGTTCCCACATTTGACGCTTTCACCTGTCACTAATAAGTGTACGTATATATAATATATAAAAGATATAAATTATATAATATATTAAAAATAAATACTATATAATATATAATTTATAAATATCAAAAATATAGTATATATATATTTAAAATAATACGTACACGATACAAAAAATATATTTTATGAATGTGTAAATTGTGTTTTTAATTTAATATTATATAATATATAATATTTAAATAATGTAAATAATATATAATATAGAATATTTGATTTAATATATATATATATACATATTGAATATTATATTCATATAATAAAAATAAATATAATATATATATATATTATCTAAAATATATATATAATATCTAATAAAATATATATAATATCTATAATATATTTTATAAATATAATACATATATTTTTCATTTTATACAATATATTTAATTCAAACTACACCATGTATATATAAATATATTTAAACTAATGTATATATATATATACAATATTTACCAAATATATATTTTTTTAAAATATTTATAATGAATATAATATATTGAATACGATTTAAAATATAAAATGTATAACAAATATAAAATATATAATATGTAAAACTTATATAATATACACTATGTACAATAATTGTAATTTTTATAAAATAATAAAAAATAAATATATATATATACATATGTGACAATATGTTATATATAATATATTAGATAATATACAATGTGTATAAAATATAAACATATAAAATATAATATATGTAATATTTTTAACAAAGATTAAAATATATACTATATAATATATTGAATAAATAGAATATAATATATTGAATAAATAGAATATAATATATAATATAAATAATATTTAAAATATATTTGATATATTTAATATATATTGTATCTATAATATACAATATATATTAGATTTATTATATGTATGATATTATTTATATATTAACTATATTGTATATATTATTTAAATTATATGTAACATATATTATATATAACATATATTATATATAACATATATTATATATAACATATATTATATAAAATATATGTTATATATTATATATAACATATATTATATATAACATATATTATATATAACATATTATATCAAAATATATGATATATATTATATATGTTATATATTATATATAACATATATTATATATAACATATATTATATAAAATATATGTTTTATATTTTATATAATATATATAATATATAATATACAATATATTATATTCATATCAATCATATATATAATATTATATATATATACATATTTAAGTATTTTTCTAAATATATAATATATGTAATATAATCTATCATATTTAATATCTAATATGTATTTTTAGTTAATAGTATTTTGTTTATAATTTGATATTTAATATTGAATATTTAAAAGATTTATTTAATATACAATAAATAATCTAATATTTATACTTTATAATAAATAATAATATAAAATGTAATATATTATATTGTATATGTAATATATATTGTATAATATATATAATATTGTATATATAATGTTTATTTATATGGATGGGAACCTGGGAACCTCAAGGCGAGGACAGATCCCATTTGTTCATATTTTTTTTCCTTTCCCCAAGGAAAATGAAAACTGATCCAGTTTGTGTTCGTGGCTTGCGGATCAACATTTTGTGTCTCCGAAACCGCTAGTTTCATGCGAATTTGTGAAAGAACAAACATATACAAATAGATCAAATTAGGTGCCCCAGAAAATGGGATGATTCATTCATGTTAATATTTAAAAAAAAACACAAATCTCTGGTTGTCAGGGTGTACAAATTTGTGGGTCCAATATTGCCCGTTTACACGTCAACAACTGCAATCCTTGCCGAGGCCTGCAAAGGGTCGCTTGGACATTCCTTTGGAGGTGGCGTTGGGAAGAATTGATGTTGGTTTGTCGTTGTGACAAGTGAATGTTGTTGTAGTTGGTTTTCATTTATGGTCATCCCCAAAACGATACAAAAGTGTTTCCAGGACGTTATATACAAATGATATTTAACACATATTTCCAGGTTTCCCGCTTTTCTATCTACTTCGGGTTTGCTATAGTATGGTAAACCCAATAGTAGTCCATGTCCATTCTCACCAGACATGGGTGGTACAACCCCTCCAAACTTGGAGGTTTATTGGATTTAGCACAGTACTTCATACATCTTCATACCACATTTCACGCGGGAAGTCGCCTTGATTCATTTGGATGCATCGATTTGCGTTCAAGCGGCATTAGATTCTTAGATGTTTGGTTGAGAACCCAGTGGCATACCCTGATTTAGGTCGGCAAAAATTGCATGTTTTGCATTTTCTTGGAAAAGGCGATGTTTTTGCATGTTTTTGCGGGGTTGACAAATTGAAGAATCCTATATGATTTTTGGGGTGGTTTAGTTTCGATCATAGGTTTTTCAATCACAACCTGGTAGTTTTTCATTGTTCCCCGCGTTAGCATTAAACAACTCCATTGCGTTTTGCTAGAGTACGTAGTACCTTGTCACAACCGAAACAGTGGATGAAAAAAGTCACACTTTTCCAAATAGTTCATATCAAAATCATTCAAAATCAACTTTTCGATTTTGTTCTTTGTTTCCGAGACTTGACGGGGAAATCTGCAGGAAAGCTGGTAAAAACCATGGTTTCCCGTTAAGATTTCCCCAACAAACCAATCTAATGATCTTGTTTACGCCCAAGTACATCCCATGATATGCCCATATTTTTGTCGCTTTGGTTAAACAGCTGGCAGATGGTTGCTCGCTTGGAGCATTTGGTGGAGCTTGCGGATCGCGTTGAGACCAAGAGAAGGTCAGCCTTTACCTTTTGTTGAAAGGGATTATCTAACATAATGGGATAATAATGTGAGAATAATTGGATAATAATAGGAGAATAGTGGCATAAAAATGGGAGAACAAATTGATAGTAGATAATTGGATAGTAGTGGGAGAATAATGGGACATGGGATATTGGGAGAATAGCCGGAGGACAATGGGAACATAATTGGATGATAACGGGATATCATAATAATGGGGGATAATGGGAGAATAATAGGAGAATAATATAACGGGACAATTATACAATATATACGTATATATATATACACAGTGGAAATACAAACGCATATGATAGATAGATAGATAGATAGATAGATAATGATAGATAGATAATGATAGATAGATAATGATAGATAGATAATGATAGATAGATAATGATAGATAGATAATGATAGATAGATAATGATAGATAGATAATGATAGATAGATAATGATATATAGATAATGATAGATAGATAATGATAGATAGATAATGATAGATAGATAATGATAGATAGATAATGATAGCTAGATAATGATAGATAGATAATGATAGATAGATAATGATAGATAGATAATGATAGATAGATAATGATAGATAGATAATGATAGATAGATAGTGATAGATAGATAATGATAGATAGATAATGATAGATAGATAATGATAGATAGATAATGATAGATAGATAATGATAGATAGATAATGAAAGGTAGATAATGATAGGTAGATAATGATAGATAGATAATGATAGATAGATAATGATAGATTGATAATGATAGATTGATAATGATAGAAAGATAATGATCGATAGATAATGATAGATAGATATTGATAGAGAGATAGATAGATAGAAAGATAGATAGATAGATAGATAATGATAGATAGATCATGATAGATAGATAATGATAGATAGATAATGATAGATAGTAAT